CTTGAGCTCACTTTATAGCCCAAGCTGTCTTCCAGCTTGCAGTGATCCTCTTGCCTCAGCCTCCCAAGTGCTGGGATTCTAGGCATGTGCTACCATGCCCGGTTAACTGGTGAATTTAGATTATGTGAATTTAAACAAAAAAGAAAGTCAGTGTGGACCGCACACACGGGGGATCCTGTATGGAGCCCAAGCAGGAAGTCTACCCATCCTAGAAGGTGTCACGGGGGCAACGGGCAGGCTGGACACAAGAGTGTCCTGTCGAGCGGTGACGTCCCGACATCCATCACCGCCAGGCTCCTGGAGGTGACATCCTTGATCATGGCAACGACGCTGAGGGCTCAGCGGCTGCAGGGGCACTGGGCCTGACCCTCCCTCACAAAAACATCAGAAAAAGATGGGGGTGGACTGATGGGTGGTGGGGGCCACATAGACAGTGGTAAATAGATGCTAGGCAGAGAGGAAGTAGATGCGTATAAACAGACGTGAATGACAGACAGACAGAGGACAGCTCAGTAGACCAATAGTGGAGAGACAGATGAAATTTGAAGACATTAGGTTAAAAGTATATGAAACTTCTACTCTCTTTTTGTTTTCTTTGGTAGGGGCAGGGTCTCGCTCTGTAGTTCAGACAGGCAGTGAACTCACTATATAGTCTAGACTGATCTCAGGCTCATGGCGATCTTCCTGCCTCAGCCTCCCCAGGGCAGGGATTACAGGTGTGCACCACCACACCTAGGTTTTGTACTGTTCTTGTAATTTTTCTGAAATTTTGGAAGTTTTCAAAGAGAAAGCTGAGATGCATGAAAACTTTCCCTGGGCCAGCAGCCCCTCGGGCACCACCCCACCGCCCAGCCCCGCACCCTGGCTTCCTTCCTTCCCATGGGCCACTCTGGGCCCGGCAGGTCATTATGGTCTCGAACGTCCCCTCAGAGGTATCCCAGGATGCTGACAGTCACCCCTGCTGGGCCGTCCCCGGCTGCAGGATGACTCAGACCCAGAAGGCAAAGGGGGTGTCCCTACCCCACTCTCACTGTCACCAGCTTACAAACACACTTCCTGGCGTGACCTCACCCTGTCCCTTCGGTCTGCTGACTTCACGAGACCAGAAAAGAACACGCAGAGTCCAGCACACTGCCGCTTCCAGGATCTTCCAGATGCGAAGCGCTCTCCCAGTGCGGGCCGCCACGGGGTCCCGACAAAAGCTGGCACTAACTGCCATGCTCAGCAAGAGGGGACCAGTTGAATTCAGCATGGCCCAACTAGACCACAGAATACTACACAACCATCAAAAAGAATGAGGGGCCAGGTGTGATGGTGCACATCTGTTATCCCAGCACTCGGGGAAGCTGAGCCAGGAGGATCTCAAGTTTGAGCCTACTTGGGCAATTTAGCAGTTTAGCCAGACTCTGTATTTAAACATTTTTTAAAAGGGTGGGGATGTAGCTTAGTGCAAAGGCCCGGAGTTTAATCCCCAGTCACACACAAAAAAGGAAGTTAATTTACTGGTGTGGGGAGACCGCCAAAGAAAAACCCTCCCCACACTGAGGTAACGGAGGAAAACCAGGACAGAGTGTGGGCAAACACGTTGTCGACAGAGGGGAAACACCTCTCTCGGCGAGGGTGTGTTTGTGTTCGAGTACACACCAGCCCTGGAAGCTTGTAACAGAGGCTCTCCCTGGTGAGGCGGGGAGGAGGGCTGGAGGGAACCCGATTAGAAGGCAGGCTGTTTGGGTATTGAACCCAGAGCCTCTGCACCAAGCAACATCCCCAGCTCTTTTTATAATTTTTTTTTTTAATTTTGAGACAGGTTCTGGCTAAGTCACTAAGTTACCCACATTAGACTCAAACTTGTCACCCTCCTGCCTCAGCCTCCCCACCTCTGGGATTACAGGCTTGTGCCACCACCCCTGGCTACTCAGGCTCATTTTAATAGGAGCCTCTGCCAGGCACAGTGGCACATGCTCATCATCTCAGCTATTCCGGAGGCTGAGGCAGGAGGATCACAAGTTCGAGGCAACTTAGCAAGACGTTGTCTCCAAATTAAAAATACAAATTAAGAAGAGCACTTTTGGAAGCTGGAAAGAAGAGACTGGAATGGTCCTGGTGAGGTGAGGGTCAGCAATGGCTTAGCCCAAGTGGAGTCACTGAGGACACACGGACGGGTCAGTGAGGAAGGTGAAAGAGAGGTCATGGTGCCCGCGGAGCAGCGGGCAATGGCCAGGCTTGGAGAAAGCCGTCCTCCCCCGTTTCCTTTAACCCCCGCAGCAACGCCTGCCTCCAGGAGTTCCAGGGAAGTTGGGAGGCGCTGCGTATGCTCAGCCAGCTGAGCGGAGGGCAATGCCCTGGGGCCAACAAAGCCTCAACAAAGTGTCTTTGAGGGGGACAGGACCAGCAGCCGGGCGGGAGTCGGGGTGTGCACTGCCGTAGATGTGCCCACAGTAAGAGGGAAGGCCTTGAAGTTAGAGAGGGTCGGGCTGGGGAGATAGCTCAGCAGCACAAGCACCTGCCTGGCAAGTGCAAGGTCCTGAGTTCAATTCACAGTACCAAAAAAAAAAAAAAAAAGTTAGAGAAGGTCACCAAGGCCAGCAGGTGGCTAAGGTGAGGTTGGAGGGTCATAGAACTCATGCAAAAGAAATGAAGCTCTTACAGGGCATGGTGGTGCACGCCTGTGATCCCAGCACTCCGGAGGCTGAGGCAGGAGGATCACTGTGAGTTTGAGGCCAGTCTGGGCTGCAAAGTGAGTTCAAGGTCAGCCTGAAAGAAAGAAAGAAAGAAAGAAAGAAAGAAAGAAAGAAAGAAAGAAAGAAAGAAACAGAGAAAGAAAGAAAGAAAGAAAGAAAGAAAGAAAGAAAGAAAGAAAGAAAGAAAGAAAGAAAGAAAATGAAATGAAGCTGGGGGTGGTGGTGCACACCTGTAAGACCAGCACTCAGGAGGCTAAAGCAGGAGGATTACTGTGAGTTCGAGGCCAGCCTGGGCTACACAATGGCTCATCCTCTCTGACACACAGAGATTTCAACCTCTGCACCCTAGCTGGGAAGGAGTCACTGACACCACAGAGGACAGTGTCTATTAAAACACCTGACACCCAAATTAAGGGAGGAAAGGTTTATTTGGTTCACAGTTTGTGGAAGTTTCAGTCTGTAGTCAGATGGCTTCAAGACAGGGTGGATGGCAAAGGAGAAATAGTTCATGGTGGGCAGAAGACAGCAAAGCAACAAGGGATGACCGCAGCACTTTCTGTCCCTTATATTTTATCCAGGCTACTCAGGGTACACCACTCACACCCTTAATCCTAGAGCCCTTGATCCTAGAGTCACACCATGAGTTAATTCCAGTGTCACACACTCTAGACAGAGCCACCTCTGCAGAAGCCCCCCCATCACTGAATGAAGCTTTGGGGGGACACCTAGACACAAACCATAACAGGCCCAAAGCTCCAAGTAGAGGTAGAGCCTTGGTTTTAAAGATAAAATAGTGGAAAGAACCTAAACCTTTATGGACAGGGATGAAATTCTCTACTGAAATATTATATGGCTGATAAAAAGGATCCAATTCCCTAGAGAGACATGAGTATTTGCAGCCAGTGGTGTGGCTCAAAGGTGAGCCTTGCCTAGCAGACATGAGGCCCTGGCTCCATCCCCAGCACCACAAAAAAAGAGGCAAGGATGCAGTACCTTCTGCGTTGGTTATACAACTCGAGAGGAGTTGATGTAAAGTGCTTAGCATAATGCCTGGTATGCAGAAAGCACTCAATAAATGCTCGTTAATATCAGATGTTATTCATGAGAAAAACAGCACGGAAGATAATGAATAAAGCAGGAGTGGTGGCGCACGCCTGTAATCCCAGCACTCAAGAGGCTGAGGCAGGGGGATCACTACGAGTTCAAGGCCAGCCTGGATCGCATAGCAAGAACCCATTTCAAAAAAAAGAAGGAAAGTAAAACGAAACAAAACAGTAATAAGTGACACACATTGCTATTTGCAAGAGGGGGAATGATAGCCATGTGACACACAACCATATGCCAGGCACAGCTGCAAGAGCTCTGTGGTTCTGTCTCCCGTCATTCCCTCAGCCGGCCTGTGACCCAGGATATTTCTTACTATCCTCACTTTATTTTATTTATTTATTTATTTATTTTGGTACTGGGAATCTGAACTCATGACCTCAGGCTTGCCAGGCAAGCGTTTATGCCACTGAGCTACGTCCCTGGATAGCCTCACTTTAGATTAGGGCATGGAAGCCTGGAAAGGACAAGCTTCCTCAGCTACATGTCCAGGCAGCATTCAGTTGTCTGGGTGTGCGGAACACTACACAAAATCACTGCTGATTTTGTATCCTGCTCTTGGGCATCTCTAGCCTGTTTCTGAACGGGGCCATCACAAACTGGGGGCAACAACAAGCACTCAGAAGCCCTGGGCTGGGCAGGAAGCGTAGCTGTGTTCTAAATACTCTTTGGGGTTTTGTGGGCCCCCTCTTTGTTTATTTTGAGACAGGGTCTCCCTATGTAGCCCAGGCTGACCTCCAACTCACAGCAATCCTCCTGCCTCAGCCTCCAAGTACTGGGACTACAGGAGTGCTCACGCACACACACACACACACACACACCTGCTCCCTTTGGCGCTTTGCCACCACTTAGGGAATGAAGCAAAAGTGGCGGCTCTTGGCCCGCCCCACCTGAACGCCTGCTTGCCCAAGGGGGCCCGAAGGGTGGAACGGAGTGAAGCAACACCGCGCCCCAGCTGGGCATCGGGCTCCTTCCGTTTCCTCTTTCTGGCAGACGAACGAGGCCAGTGCCTCCTGGATGCAGGTGCCGTTGTTCGGGGCTCGGCTTCCTCCCGGATGCACGGCACCCACAGCAGCCCGGTCAGCCACTGCCCTGGGACCTCAGGCGCCCCGCCCCTGCCGGCTTCCCCACACTCACAGTGCAGGTCATCTGCAACCCCCGCAAGTGGCCTGTCCACGCTTCCGGCTGACCCTGCCCAGCCCTGGCCCTGCCAGAAGGCTCTTTTTGGATTCCGCCCCTGGAAGAATTTTGTTCAGTTTTCTGGTGCTGGGGATGGAACCCAGGGCCTGGCGCACACCAGCCAAGGGCCCCCGATGCGGAGCCACGCCCCAGCCCAACTGCAGCGTTCTGAAGCATCTCGGAGACCCAGCTCCAGGGCTTCCTGCTGGGGGGAATTTCTGGGGTCCCAGTTCTATGAGGTGGCTGGAGCTCTTATCACCCCTTCACAGCTTTCTTCTTTCTTTTTGGTACTGGGAATTGAACCTGCACTGAGTCACATCTCTGGCCTTTTTATTTATTAAAATTTTTTTTTGAGACAGGGTCTCACTATGTAGCCCATGCTGGCCTCAAATTTGTGACAATCCTCCTGCCTCAGCCTCCCAAGTGCTGGGATGACAGGTGTGCACCCCCAGGCCTGGCTCCTTTTTATTTTTAATTCTGAGAGAGGGTCTGGCTAAATTGCTCAGTTGCCCAGGCTGAACTCCAACTTGCAACCCTCCTGCCTCAGCCTCTTGGAGTGCTAGGATTACAGACCTGTAGCACCGTGCCTGGTCACATCCTAGCCATCCCTGGAGGGTGAGAGACTGGCATGGGGACAAGAGGACGGAGGGGACACAGAGGACAGGATGAAGGAGGAAGGAAAGGAGAGCTATCCAAGAAGGAGAGAGGAGGGGACAGAGAAAGGGGCCCACTCACCATGTCCTGGGATCTTAGGGTCCTGGGCTCCGTGTGGCCAGAGGTCACTCCTGCTCAGTGGCTGTGGTTTTAAAGCCCCATGGGCAGATGCAGATAGAGGAGGAAATTACTGCGCTTTCTTCCCCGCAGCGTCACTGGTGCCCATAGGACACCAGGCCAGGGCGCTGGGTGGGGCCCACGCACAGGACGCCCTGCCGCCGAGAGAGGGCCTCTGGGTTAGCAGAGGAAGCCCTGGCCCAGGAAGGGAAGAACCCAGCGGAGAGCCGAGGCTCGGACCCCGCCGCCTCAGTTTCCCCAGGAAAGGGTGTCACTCTCTCCTAGCACTCTGTGCTTCCGGGGGAGAAAAGCTCAGAGGTCCAGTGGGCCTGGCTTGGGGCCCTAGAACGGAGACTGTGACCCGCACTCGCCCCAGATTGCTGTGAGACACAGAAGGGTCAGGCAGGGTGTGTGGGTGGGAGCTGACTTGGGGCTTTGCTGTTAAATCTTTTTTTTTTTTTTTTTTTTAATTTTGCTGTTAAATCTTCCCAGAGGCTTGAGGTAGTCAGAAGGCACCCGCACCAGCAGCAGCCGCTGGCTTACAAATCGCTCCATATCTCATAAATGTTTTGCCTTTTTTTGTTGTTGTTTTTGTACCAGAAATCAAACTCAGGACCTTGCATTTGCCAGGGAGACACTTGTGCTCTGCGCTACGTCCCCGGCCCTGTGTTCTGCCTTTTTTTTGGTTTCTTTTGTTTTCTTTCTTTTTTGTAAGTAGTGGGCATGGAACCCAGGGCCTGGCACGGGCTCAGCCGCGCTCTATCGCCAAAGCTGCACCGCAGGCCACCGCTGCTCTTCTGAACCCACGTTTGGAGAGTGTCCCCAAGAAATGCTCCCTAAGCTTCGAGCGCTGCAGGAATTGTTCTGCCGCTGGCCTCAAGAGGGCGCCTGAGAGCCAGATCAAATCACTTCACTGTAGGATTTTGGTGATGGTG